GGGGGGGGCGGGAGAAACAGGTCTCTCACCACACCGTGTCCTCTCCCGGTACTGCTCTTATTTCTGAGCAAGCTTTAACCCTAAATCAGCTGACACAGAACACGCCTTGTGAGTCACCACAGTGGCCTACAGGAAGTCCATTGCACCAAGCAGCGGGGAAGGCAGGTTTGAATTGAGGAGAGGCAGTCACGTAAGGCCGGCACAGTGCTGCAGAAGTGCTGCTTCTCGTTTCCATGGTAAAGGCAAGATCTACTGCTCCATAGCAGCATCTAACAAAACTGGATGATTCCCCCTTCTCAATGGGGAGGGGAGTTTTGCTGAAAAGAGGTGTGAGCCAGGTTATCAGGATGGGGGCGGGAGGGCTCCTCAAACTGGGGGTCGGGACCCCTCAGGGGGTCACGAGGTTATTACGTGAGGCGTCACGAGCGGTCAGCCTCCACCCCAAATGCCGCTTTGCATCCAGCATTTATAATGGTGTTAAATAGATTGAAAAGTGTTTTTAATTTATAAGAGGGGTCACACTCAGAGGCTTGCTATGTGAAAGGGGTCACCAGTACAAAAGTTTGAGAACCACTGTCCTAGAGGTTAGAGAAGAGGCGTAAGCATTCATTTGAAACTAACATCATAGTTTAAAGGGCCAAAATCCACTGACAGCCAGGATGAATTTATCCCCCAAAGCGTTTGTTTAAGCTTCTGGCATTAGGTGAATGAAGGAGAGAGGCTCACACAGAAAAGGAAGTGGAATGATATTCTGCAAGGCTTCGAGAAGGGACAGCATGGGGAAGATAACTGAAAAGAGAAAGCGAAGCCTTTGGGAAGGTGTAGACCCCACCCTCCCTAACCCAAATAATTACCTCCCCCGCCTAGAAAGAATGAAGTGAGCGAAAAACATAGGTGCCCAATAGAAGAGCAAGGAGCAACGTCCTTCATGCTTAGCTCAACTTCAGCCAAGCCATTAAAATGGGGTCCTGCCCAAAAGGCAATTAGCATAATTTCAAATCCAGTCAGTAATGCAGATCGATCGCCCCAGCTCTTGGGCAGATTCATTTCCAAACTCTACCCAGGCCCGCCAAAACAACGGGTGATATTTTTACAAGCAGCATCCTATCCCCTCTCAGAACAGGAGGATGTAAATGGCAGTGGCGAGGGAATTGTTGGTGTATGTACTGTGAACAGTAAAGGCAATTGTCAGCCTGGGGATCAAAGAGAAACTCTTCCAACAAAGCAATCGGACTTAATTACACAGCAACCAGCTGCACCACCTACTCTGCATGGCTCATCTAGAAACAAACCATTAGTGGAGCAGGAGCCTGACATGCTATTTGAGGCTCACGTCAGTGATGTTCTCTATACAAGAAACAACATAGTTACATTATCTTGCTCTCCAGTCAGTGCTCAGTTCCTCCCTTGAATTTTCCTAGAGTACACGTCGCTGCTCTTCTCTTTTGAAACCCAGGCAGATCCGCCCATCGTAACTTGACATCGACATTTCTGGATGAAAGATTTTACAGTAGCAGGAAGCACAAGTGGTCAATTTCCATGCAGTCAGCAAGAAGGAGAACCACTCAGTCAGGGTTTGGAAAAGTACTGAGGGGAGAAAGAGGGTTTCCGTCTCATCCATGCAGAGAACATTCTCAGCTAAAAGCAAAACCCACCAAGTTATTTCCTCATCACTTACAGAGAGGAGAGACAAGAACATTCAGTCCCTCCTCTAACCATGCAGGCAAGTTTACTTAAGAACAGTCCCCCTGAAGTCACTGAGGCTACCAAGTGCATAAAGATAAGCATGTCTAGCCCTTTGAGGTCAGGATTCTACCTCCAGAATTGAAGTGGAGGAGCCATTTCCGCCATTATGATGGGTTTTCTCCTTGTCTGGTTTGGACACGAAAGGTTGGGGGGCTGCTATTCCTTTCAAAATTAAGGTGCTGTTCAAACCTCCGGAAAGACCTTCATAATTTGAGTTTTGTGTCAGATGCCAGGGCTCTTTTCTGTCAGTATTCGTTTACTCTTACTTTCCAGTGCCTGCAGAGATGCCACGCAGCACCAGTGCTCTGAACGCCCCTCCACATTACTCACCCTCCGCAGGCAATTTGTATTTAGCAAACTGCCCTCATGACTTCAGCATGCCCACGTGTGGGTGGGTCTGAGGCATTGACAAGCATTTCCCTATGACTGCTCTGACTGTTAGGGAGTTTGCTTTGCCCCAACCTGACACACACGACCCCACCTCTTATTGCTACACAGCATCTCCAGTCCAGAGGATACTTAGTATCTCCAGTACAGAGGATACTTAGTGCAACTGCGGCTAAGAGACATTGCCCACTACTTACCCTTGCTCCTACCCCCCCCCCGCCCCATGCACCATATACATGGGTCACCTAGGTGTATAGTCAGCTGTAACTGGCACTACCCAGCACAACCTCTATGCTGGGCACATGCCACCTGGTTCACACTTCCCCCAACATAACACCCCCTTGCACAGTACAGCACCCCCCTCAGTCTCATTGCACCCCTGTATTGCTGCATGTGCCTGCAGTCCCAGATTCACCCCCACCCTGGAGGTGGCAACCCCTGGGCTTTAACCCTCCAGCTTGCAGACACCTGCTGCCCCCGCCATGCAACGAACACTGCAGCGGGCTCCCGAGGGTGCAGTGTCCCCTTGCAGCCCCGGACTCCAACCCCCGTGCAGGCTCGCGCCTCCAAT